ACCTTTAAAAGGTAGTTATTCTCAACTTCACTTCATTAGAAAAAACAGAATCCATAGAAGAAAACCAGTCCTTTTTACTTGTCATGTGATTGTTACAGCCTTAATCAATGAACCACATATCTTGTGTAATTGATTCTTCATTTGTTGGAACCTGTCATGTGATTACTGCAGCCTGAATCAATGAACCATATATCTTGTGTAATTGATTCTTCATCTATTGGAAGTTGTGCCATGAGTAACACGGCTTCTTCACCACCTTCAACATAATTTACTATGCTATCCCGAGGCTTCTTTGTCATATTAGAAGTGTCCGAACTCATGGTAGTAGTAACACTCTATTGTTGCCTTATTTATAAATTATCTACCTCTTCTTCCTCTTCCTCTTCCTCTTTGAAAAAGACTTATTCCCTGTCCATTGTCAGGACTTGTCTCCTCCTGTGAAACATTCAATACTTGCTCTTTATGAGAATTGTGCCCATTCATTCTCTGCTCATGCACTAATAAACTACTTTGGAGTTCATCAATAAATCATGAGATTTCTCAATGGAACGCCCTTTCACCATATCATGCTTTAACAAGGTTTCCAATCCACTATAACTCATGTAAGTTGGTGTTGAAATTCAAAGCAATGGTAAGAAAATCCAGATTTTACAGAGTTGAACTTAATTCAAAGCAAACTCCAGATTTTACAGAGATAGCAAACATAGATGTTTTAAATATCATACCACTCTCCTTGAAACACTTCACATTTATTTTCTTTCATTTCATCATTTCTCCAAAAATTGACTCACACTAAATAAATTATTCTTTAACTTAGGGACATAATACATTTGTAACCATATACATAACTTCATTAATTAGCAATTTAATCGTGTCCTTCCCTGTCACCTTTAAAAGGTAGTTATTCTCAACTTCACTTCATTAGAAAAAATAGAATCCATAGAAGAAAACCAATCCGTTTTACTTGTCATGTGATTGTTGCAGCCTGAATCAATGAACCACATATCTTGTGTAATTGGTTCTTCATTTGTTAGAACCTGTCATGTGATTGCTGCAGCCTGAATCAATGAACCATATATCTTGTGTAATTGATTCTTCATTTGTTGGAAGTTGTGCCATGAGTAACACGACTTCTTCACCACCTTCAGCATAATTTGTTATGCTATCCCGAGGCTTCTTTGGACATTCATATTAGAAGTGTTTGAACTCATGGCAGTAGTAACACTCTATTGTTGCCTTATTTATAAATTGTCTACCTCTTCTCCCTCTTCCTCTTCCTCTTTGAAAAAGACTTATTCCCCGTCCATTGTTAGGACTTGTCTCCTCCTGTGAAACCCACAATACTTGCTCTTCATGAGAATTGCGCCCATTCATTCTCTGCTCATGCAATAATAAACTACTTTGGAGTTCATCAATAAATCATGAGATTTCTCAATGGAACGCCCTTTCACCATATCATGCTTTAACAAGGTTTCCAATCCACTATAACTCATGTAAGTTGGTGTTGAACTTAATTCAAAGCAATGGTAAGAAACTCCAGATTTTACAGAGCTAGCAAACATGAAGTTAGTGTTGAACTTAATTCAAAGCAAACTCCAGATTTTACAGAGATAGCAAACATAGATGTTTTAAATATCATACCACTCTCCTTGAAACACTTCACATTTATTTTCTTTCATTTCATCATTTCTCCAAAAATTGACTCACACTAAATAAATTATTCTTTAACTTAGGGACATAAAATACATTTGTAACCACATGCATAACTTCATTAATTAGCAATTAAATCGTGTCCTTCCCTGTCACCTTTAAAAGGTAGTTATTCTCAACTTCACTTCATTAGAAAAAATAGAATCCATAGAAGAAAACCAATCCTTTTTACTTGTCATGTGATTGTTGTAGCCTGAATCAATGAACCACATATCTTGTGTAATTGATTCTTCATCTGTTGGAACCTGTCATGTGATTGTTGCAGCCTGAATCAATGAACCATATATCTTGTGTAATTGATTCTTCATCTGTTGGAAGTTGTGCCATGAGTAACACGACTTCTTCACCACCTTCAGCATAATTTGCTATGCTATCCCAAAGCTTCTTTGGACATTCATATTAGAAGTGTCCGAACTCATGGCAATAGTAACAATCTAATGCTGTCTTATTTATAAATTGTATACCTCTTCTCCCTCTTCCTCTTCCTCTTTGAAAAAGACTTATTCCCTATCCATTGTCAGGACTTGTCTCCTCCTGTGAAACCCACAATACTTGCTCTTCATGAGAATTGCGCCCATTCATTCTCTGCTCATGCACTAATAGACTACTTTGGAGTTCATCAATAAATCATGAGATTTCTCAATGGAACGCCCTTTCACCATATCATGCTTTAACAAGGTTTCCAATCCAATATAACTCATGTAAGTTGGTGTTGAACTTAATTCAAAGCAATGGTAAGAAACTCCAGATTTTACAGAGCTAGCAAACATGAAGTTAGTGTTGAACTTAATTCAAAGCAAACTTCAGATTTTACAGAGATAACAAACATAGATGTTTTAAATATCAGACCACTCTCCTTGAAACACTTCACATTTATTTTCTTTCATTTCATCATTTCTCCAAAAATTGACTCACACTAAATAAATTATTCTTTAACTCAAGGACATAAAATACATTTGTAACCACATGCATAACTTCATTAATTAGCAATTAAATTGTGTCCTTCCCTGTCACCTTTAAAAGGTAGTTATTCTCAACTTCACTTCATTAGAAAAAATAGAATCCATAGAAGAAAACCAATCCTTTTTACTTGTCATGTGATTGTTGCAGCCTGAATCAATGAACCACATATCTTGTGTAATTGATTCTTCATCTGTTGGAACCTGTCATGTGATTGCTGCAGCCTGAATCAATGAACCATATATCTTGTGTAATTGATTCTTCACCTGTTGGAAGTTGTGCCATGAGTAACACGGCTTCTTCACCACCTTCAGCATAATTTGCTATGCTATCCCGAGGCTTCTTTGGACATTCATATTAGAAGTGTCCGAACTCATGGCAGTAGTAGCACTCTATTGTTGTCTTATTTATAAATTGTCTACCTCTTCTCCCTCTTCCTCTTCCTCTTTGAAAAAGACTTATTCCCTGTCCATTATCAGGAGTTGTCTCCTCCTGTGAAACCCATAATACTTTCTCTTCATGAGAAATGTGCCCATTCATTCTCTGCTCATGCACTAATAAACTACTTTGGAGTTCATCAATAAATCATGAGATTTCTCAATGGAACGAAGAATTTTTTTCAATAACAGTAATGTCAGATACTGGCTCACCTTGCAATTGTGAGAGTCTGAACAAAGTAATCATTAATTGATTCACCATTATTCATCTGCAAAATCTCCTATTCGTGTCGTAGAGCCTGTAGTTGAGCTCCCTTCAACCTCGCAGTGCCTTGATATTTTTGTTTCAACCTCGCAACCTCGCAGTTGCCTCCTTTAAGATGGTTTGAAGCAAGATTCTATCAATATTTTGAAACAAGTAGTTTTTCACCTTCAAATCCTTTAATTTCAACTCTTCCATAGCTTTTTCCTCATTATCTAATAAAACAACCCCATCTGCATGTTGTGGAATTCCAGGAACTATTTCCGTACTCTTTTCACCTCAAGAAATTCTCCATTAGCAATGCCTAATGGTTGTAATGCTCATTCAACTTTGAAATTGCAGGTTGTACGAATTTATTGTCCGTGTTGACCATAATAGAAGTCTGCAACTTCTTTTCAGTGGATGTTGAAACTGACTTGATAGCAGATGTTATCTCAAAAAAATTTGATTCTCTCTACTTTATTCGTAAAATAAAGAAGCTAAATATATAAATTTAGCTTTACAAGTGATGAACTAGAAAATAAGAAAAAATTGTTGACAAATTTTGGGTCATGTATATATATGATACATAATTTAAATGTGTTAGAGTCATTATTTATTAAGCCAAATAATAAAGTGATATGAATAAATTAAAGTTTTGGCTAAAGACATATGTCATGAAAATAAAATTGTGTAGAGACCATAGAGTAATTTTTAATTTGATGAGGGGCCAAATTGAAAATACTAAAATTTAAGTAATTAACCTAATTTTGGTTATTTAAAGGGTCATGGTACCCTTCTGGGAGCACACACACAGAACGTAAGTTTAAGTCCCGTTCTTTTCTTTCTATCTCCATCAAGAGAGAAAATCCAAAGGGAAATACATGTGCTCTCCAGGTGGAAGACCATAAGATCAATAGTGCTCTAAAAAGGACATCATCATTATGGCAAATTCAGGTATGCTTTCGCATTCAGTTTACAACATGTTTATGAGTATGGGATTATATGGATCATAACAGTAAATAACTAACAATTGTATCAGAGCAACTCATACTTGATTCATGTTTATCTTTGGAAATTACATCTAACAAAATTCAGATTCTGTTTAATTAAAAACCCTAAGTCGAGAATGATCTCCTCCCAATTTTTTTTTAACCCTAAATTTAAATTTGGGGTAAATTCCCAAATTTTAAACCTAATTTCGAATATGGGGTAAAATCACTCTTCTGCTCCGTCACACGAGTTCATCCGAGTTACATAATCTCCTTGATAAGAGAGCTTCTACCGTTGGATTCTATTTTTCGAAGTAGCTTTGGTGAAGTTGCTTCTGAAAACCCTAATCGAGGAGAAAAACAAGGAGATGCACCCTCTGCGTCTACTTCCCACGATAAAAATGTTAAATCATTCAGGAATAAATCTCAAAATATGGATGTTGATGCGGTGCATTCCCAAGGTGGAACAAATGCTGAGTTATCGTTGTTTGAGTTCTCTCGTGGAATTAAACCAAATTCTTTTGCGCTTGTTAACCTAATTGGACTATCCTCTGAACTGAAGTGTCACTCGTTCGGAAAACAACTCCACAGTTATGTTTCATGTTCCGTTTTTTTTCCCACATCCATGTCTCCACCTCCCTCGTCAAGTTTTACGTCAGAATGCACTCTTTTAGTGACGCACACGCACTGTTCGATGAAATTCCTCAACCGAACGTCGTTACTTGGAACACTATGATATCTGGGTACGTCCACGCTAGCCAGTTTCGAAACGCTTTGTCGTTTTTCATGCGCCTTGATAGGTCCCATGTTTGTGCCAACGCGTTTCCTTTCATGTCAGTGTTGTTTGCTTGTTCCAAACTGAGTCTCTTTAAACTTGGAAGCTCAATTCATTGCAAGACCGTGAAACTGGGCATGGATGATAGCACTGTGGTTGCAAACTGCTTGATTGACCTGTATGGGAAATGCGGACCTATGGAACATGTTGTAAGGGTGTTCTTCGAGACTGTTGAGAAGGATGTTATATCTTGGAATTCAATCATAGCGGCACGTGCTAACAACGGGTACATTGAACTTGCTTACAAGTTTTTGAACCTTATGCCCAACCCTGATACTGTTTCCTATAATGGCCTCATAAATGGAATTGCTCGGGTGGGGAACATGGAAGATGTTGTTCATGTTTTGTCAAGTCTGCCAAATCCAAATTCGTCTTCTTGGAATTCGGTAATTTCAGGATTTGTTAATAGGAATCGAACTAGGGAAGCTTTGGATATGTTCTGTAAAATGCACCTGAAAAATGTAGAGATGGATGAGTTCACATTTTCAACTATTTTAGATTGAATTGCCAGTTTGGCTGCCTTAACGTGGGGAATTTTGATTCATTGCTGCACAATAAAGTGCGGTTTAGATGATTCTGTAGTTATTGGGAGTGCCCTAATTGACATGTACTCAAGATCGGGGCTTTTGATGTTTTGCTGAATTTCTTTGGGGAAGTTTCAATTCGATGAGCAATTTTCAATTAAAGCACTTAATTGTCTGATTCAAGCGGTTGCATTAATTTGAAGGAGACTATTTTAAGGTAAGCATGGTGGAAATTCTTTTAGAAGTGGACCCCACCGGTGAAATGATAGAGATTGTCAGGGACCCATTTGCATAGATAAATGAATAATTAAAATTGATTTGGTTGTCAAATCTAATTTATCAAAATTTCCTTTATTTGATACCGAAGCATGAATGATTATATTTAGGTGGTTTGGTTTAGTTGGAAAGTACTTGTTTTATGAATGGCAGTGGTGGATTCCGTGCCATTATACTTTTTTTTTTAAATAAATAATTATATAAATTTGGTTTTGTTATATAAATAAAATATTACTTTTTTGGTAGTTTAATATTTTTGTGAACAAATTGAGTCAAGAAGTTACCAAAGTAACATTTCTTGAATTGGGTAGTTCGTAAAAAATATTGAATGTTAGTGTTTGTGTATATTCATGCGAGTATTAGTCGGCCCAAAGGAAGATTAATATTTGGCCGAATTACATAAACACATGTAATGATAAACATGTGATAATTATAAGGATTTGTTTTGTCGATGATAAATCAATCCAAAGACTGGTTTGTTGTTGGACGTGTTTTATTGTCAATGTTTGATTATTACAACAAGATACCTCTAGCAGTTAATATTACTCGTCCAAAGACTTGATATTGATGGTGCATTGGGTGTCTTGAGATGGGTTAAACCATTATTTGAATATATATTTTATTTATAATTATTTAATTTTATAATTGAGCATAATTAATTTATTTCTTTTGTTTTTAATTCAGCTACAATTGCTTCTGTATCTGCCAATTTAAATTTTGTTCCAGTCCTCAATGGAACAAATTTTAAGGACTAGAAAGAAAACATTGATATTACTCTTGGCTGCATGGATATGGATCTTGCGTTAAGGACTGAGCAACCCCCTGTTCCTACGGATTCAAGTACCTCTGAACAGAAATGAGATTATGAGAAGTGAGATCGCTCAAATCGCATGAGTCTAATGATCATTAAGTGCGACATCCCGGAGGTGTTTAGGGGCACTGTTTCTGAAAACATCACAAGTGCCAAAGAGTTCCTTGCTGAAATTGAGCAGCGCTTTGCAAAAAGTGATAAGGCGGAGGCAAGCACTCTTCTTTAGAACTTGATCTTCATGAAATATCAGGGCAAAGGAGTACATCATGAGCATGTATAATATTGTTTTTAAACTCAAGGCACTAAAACTCGAACTCTCAGAAGACTTGCTCATTCATTTGGTATTGATTTCTCTTCCCGCAACGTTTAATCAGTTTAAGGTATCTTACAACTGTCAGAAGGATAAATGGTCTCTTAATGAACTCATTTCACATTGTGTACAAGAAGAAGAAAGGCTAAAGCAAGATAAGATATAAAGTGCTCATTTTGCAAGCACCTCTAAGGCTAAAGGCAAAAGAAAGAGATCGAAGGATCCCAAGAAGGAAGCTGCTAAAGGTCCAGAACAAAAGAAACAAACTCAAGAAAACAAATGTTTCTTTTGCAATAAGACTGGACACGTAAAGAAGCAATGTGCTAAATATCATGCTTGGCGTGAAAAGAAAGGGTTGCCTAAACTATCGGAAGCCAACTGATTCTGAAAGATGGATATACGTAGAAAATGACAAATCGGTGGAGATGAAGACTATTGGACATTTTAGATTATTATTGTGTACTAATTTTTTATTTTAGATTTAAAAGATATTGTTAGAATTTGTTCACTTTTGGCTCATGATAATCTATATTTACTTAATATTGTGATCACCTATAATGAAACTCTTAATACAAAATCTCGTGGTATTAAACTAAAATTGGACTCCCGAACAGTAAGTAGTTACTTCATTGGTTATTCTGAAAGAGTCAGGGGATATAAATTTTATGATCCCACATTAAAGACAATTTTTAAGATGGGAACTGTTATGTTCTTTGAGGATATTGAGTTTGGAGGGAAGAATAAGATTAAGAATTTTGTATTGGAGGAAGAATCGACAATAAATCTAGAACCGATTCAAACAATTACTTTTGATAAAGTAAGTTCGGAACCTCCACAAGACATTGAAGATAAACCCCATATTCAAGATGATTTGATTGTTCGTCAAGACCAAACTCAAGATTCTCAAGAACCTGTGCGTCATGAGCCGGGGATACTCCAATTACTAAGGGAGACAAGTTTAGTCTAAATTAGTGCCCAAAGGGGAATTTGGAAATTGAGGAAATGCAACAGATTCCCCATGCATCAGCTATCGGGAGTTTGAGGTATTCCCAAATATGTACGCGTCCAGACATAATATACATAGTTGGTGTTCTAGGAAGATATTTAAGCAATTCAGGAATAGACCATTGGAAAGCAGCAAAAAGGGTCATAAGATATTAAAAAAAAAGAACAAAAGATTATATGCTCACATACAGGAGGTCAGACCAGTTGGAGATCGCTGGGTTTTCTGACTCAGATTTTGCAGGATGTCAATAATTTGTAGCATGCTATGAGGCATCAAATCATGGAATATGGCTGAGAAATTTTGTCACAGGGCTGCAAATTGTGAAAGGCATTGAAAGACCACTTAAGTTATATTGTGACAATAAATCAACTGTATTGTCAAGGAAAGAGTACAAAGTGGACAGATTTCCATAGAACACTTAAGGACAAACTCCATGATAGCATATCCTCTAACTAAAGGACTTCCACCCAAGGTCTTTCATGAGCATGTTGCTCACATGGGTGTTTTACAGTTTGAGGAATTTGTGGTTTAGTGGGAGTTAGTCACTTTCATATATTTTATGTTCTATGTTTAATTTCATATATGTATACATTGATTTTTTGGACATATTTGGTTATCTATAGATATGCGGTTTTTTTGTTCATTCATTACACTTTGTACATTAAGGATATTATATCGATCTCGATAAGTTAAAGTTTGGACCAGTTGAAAATAGACGTGTACAGATCACCTTCACGTAATTTTTCATGCTACACATTTCATGATGAATCCATGTCATTTGGTTATGTTAGGATGAGTAATCATTGTTGGTTTTAGTTGCGATGATGCAATGAAAAGCTGGTTTGGTTATATATCCTGATATGATTAATGGACAGGACTTTTGGAGTATGCTAAAGGAATATAATGACAATTTTGAGCTCATAAAGTCTAACACATTTGTAAGGTTGTAAGGACATATATATTTGTGACCAGTGGGAGATTGTTGACAAATTTTGGGTCATGTATATATATGATACATAATTTAAATGTGTTAGAGTCATTATTTATTAAGCCAAATAATAAAGTGATATGAATAAATTAAAGTTTTGGTTAAAGACATATGTCATGAAAATAAAATTGTGTAGAGACCATAGAGTAATTTTTAATTTGATGAGGGGCCAAATTGAAAATACTAAAACTTAAGTAATTAACCTAATTTTGGTTATTTAAAGGGTCATGGTCCCCTTCTGGGAGCGCACACACAGAACGTAAGTTTAAGTCCCGTTCTTTTCTTTCTATCCCCATCAAGAGAGAAAATCCAAAGGGAAATACAGGTGCTCTCCAGGTGGAAGATCATAAGATCAATAGTGCTCTAAAAAGGACATCATCATTATGGAAAATTCAGGTACACTTTCGCATTCAGTTTACAGCATGTTTATGAGTATGAGATTATATGGATCATAACAGTAAATAACTAACAAAAATAACTCTCACATATTAACAAAGATAACACGCATGTACTAACAGTTTATGAAACACGTACAAAATTTAAACTGCAAAGAACAATATTAATATACATAGAGTTATTAAATAAATATATTTTAAAATAGAATAGTTAATATATAATAATAATAATAATAGTAGGTTTATATGGAATCAGGATCATATTTTGTATTAGGAAAAAAATATATTTATCGCTAATTTGTTTATTTAAAGTAAACAAAAATTTCAATTTAATATTTAAATTTAAATGAAATTTTTATAAATCATTATATCGGTATATATTTTTACTAATATTATATATTGTCTAACCGTTTTTTATTAATTTTATTTATGTTGTGTTTATAACTTTTGTTTTTAGTAAATATCTAATATTAATTAATTTTTACTATTTTAAAAATATGGACCCCCAATTATAACTGCACACATATGTTTAATTGACTACAATATAATAATTTTTAGTTTATTCTAGTAAAAATCAATATTAATAATGTTTATTGAGTTTAGTAAGAAAAAAACTCATTCCCCTGTCATTGAGAGAAACCCTAAAGGCGGTCGTTACTGTTCGTTTGCAATAGTAGGGTCACACTAGTAGTTTCAGTGATAGGAACCAGTTCAAGGTACGATATCTTTTCTTCTTTTTTTCCCTATATGTGGGTTCCCACGATCTTCATGTTCGTTGAATATCTTTTCTAAACTCTTTAAATTACTAAACCTTACATCTTAAGATATTGTTATTACGTGAACGTGTAGAAATTTGGGCCATGCTATGTATGACGATGCTGCTAAAAATATATGTTTCCGCATGTTGTACTTAAACCAATTAGGTTTTGCATGATTCCTGTTAGAAATAAGTCAAAAACTGAAAACAGTTAATACTGTTTTACGTTGCTTTCATTTTTCTGTTTCTGTATTGTGTATAAATACATTCTTTCATCTTTTACATAAAGTACGTGGGTTTCCATTTATTCTTTTGCATGCATGCATAGTTTCTATATGGTATCAAGAGCCAGAACGGTTTAGTGAAGGGATTTCCAGTCCATACTGTGTGTGACGTGTTAGGGTGCTCTTTGTGAAGCACGTACGTGTAAAGTTCA